ATTCTCGACGTCCACATCTGTCTGCCATGGTGCATGCGTTGGGCAGGAGTGTGAGGGCTTGTGTGAAGGCCAATTAAGGGTTTTTCGAAACTGAGTGCACCTCGTTATTTTGTAGGTTCTTCACAAGATTCCTGCTGAATTTCGTGTGACAATGTTGCTTAGTATAGTTACAGCTGAGGAAATACTAGGCTTAAAGACTTTTGGGACACCCTGTAGAAGGAATGCCAAGGGCACTTTGTTATTACCGGCGGGTGTGCTACTGTTCGCATGTCTTGAGGCATAGCAAAATTGTGATGAGTAGCAATTACTACGCGCAATCTAACCAAATCAGGGATCAAATCGCTCTTGTACACTCCATACGTTAACAGCAGTTCGGAACATATTGCTTATGACGGTCGTTTCACTGTTGAAGGTTGAGTTAGCAAGCAGCAAGATATTTTCTGAACTTTCCTTTCGGTACCAATGCATGCGAATCGTGCCACCATGTAAATTAATCTGGGTAATTAGGTAAGAAAGTCATCCGTTTTTCGGGGCTTCTTGTGTACGCGCTATGTCTGCGACTGCTTGTTCAGAATTCTACACTATTTCGTTCATTCTATATTGAGCAACTGCTTTACGAACTGGTGTTGGTATGCGATGGTACTTTTGGTAGTAGAATCTCAACGATTTCTTGACTATCTGTAAGCGATGGTTATACATTGTAAGCTTATACATATACCTTTGATTCAACAGGGTTGGCGGCTGGAGGGCGACCGCTCGCGCCCGCGATGTCTGCGTCTGCGTCTGTCAGTCTGCGTTTCTCGCAAGCGTGCTCTTTGATTTTTCTGGCCTTGATTAGGCCTCGAGGCCACGGCTTTCCAGACGCCAATCCCGTTGAATCAAAGGGTGTAACCTAATTATTAATCGCTGAGCACGACTCACTCTAGTTCGTCGCATAAGTGCGCGCTAACTACTGAATCATTTGATTCTTATTAACAACACGGTAGGTAAAGGTTCGGTTCTCATCATTAACGTGTTTCGGTTGAGTACGGGACAAATTGCAGGCTCGCCAATGCGGGAAGACGTTCGGTCTCGTCCCACGCATACACTGCAATCTACTTTTAGGCCCACCAACACGATGTTAAAAACGATCCCAATGGTGAGCAGCTTCACCCTACAAACCTGGCATTGGCATAGCATCAACTGGCAACATCACTTATCGCTCCAAAATGCCAAGGTTCAGAAAAGAGAGAGCTAGGAACTATTTCGCAGACTTGTTTTTATTTGAGCAAATTAGAAGTCAGACCGCTCAAATCTGATTTACATTGAGGTTAACGGCAAAAAATACAAATGATGATTTTTACTAATTTTGATTTGTTTCCATCAACAGCAAGTAGGCTGTTGATCGAAACGAAACAGGCTCAAACGTCGCTTACATAGGCGACATTAGCCTATTATTCTGGTAACGCGTTAACATTGCTCTCCTACAACCCTACGCGTGATGCCGTAAAAAACCTACACAGATTTTATGAACATTTTTCAATCTTGCGCTGCTATTCCGTAAAGTCTTAAGGCAAGTGAGGAAAAATGGAAACACGATTTTTACTACTTTGAGATTTTTTGTTCCGATCAACAGCGAGCAGGCTGCAACTCAAACGTCGCTTACATAAGCGACATTCGCCAGTGGCGTACCGAGGGGAGGGGGGCGGGGGGGGCGCGCGCCCCCCCCCGAGAATGGGTCGCGAAATTTTTGAAAGCTACCTATATGGGTTATAAAAATGTGCAAGTGACTTATTTATTTTTGTAAATAATTAAAATAATTTTCAAAAAATTTTAAAAATTCAAATTAGCCTTGTAAAAAATTTTTTTTCGGGGGCGTGGCTGGCGCCACGCCCCCTTTTTCCGGATTTTAGGGGTCGGGGACCCGCAAAAATTTTAATAAGCACCCCAAAAAAATTTTCGGAGTGCGTGGCTGACGCCACGCACCTTCATTAGAAAATTTTTTTTGTCGCGCCCCCCCCGAGCCGAAATCCTGGGTACGCCACTGACATTCGCCTATTATCCCGTTGACGCGTTAACGCTCATTTCCCACAACCCTACGGTGGCGTCGTGAATAAACATCTCTCAATCTTGCGCTGCTATATCGTGAAGTCATAGAGCAAGTGATGTACCATTGAAAAGAGCTTTACATGTTCTTATAAAAGGTATATCACATATTGAACATGTTACAAATGACAGCTCTTTTAACACTGATCGGAAGTGCGGAGCGAGCATTAACCAAGATGTCCTTGGAACACTCTTTGCGACACCATTTCACATTTGCAGCGCCGTCGGAGAGTTTAATTTGTACGTTGAGATAAGGAAGCCAAACATTTTTGGTTGCTGCCGTGTAGACTATGCGCCTTGAATGCTGGTTGAGTGACCGGGAACATCCATTTTGGATTGTATCGATGTTATAACGGAACAGTAGTCTATGTAGCGACAGCATATTAGAGGTAGACGCGACAGCACTGGCTCTTCTATTCCACTCATAAAGCAGATCGCAATACTGAAGCAAGTCTTTGTCCCATCGCAAGACCCCTCAGCTGAGTATAGTATGTTTCTGACCATTTGAAGATGTTACAAGAGAGGCATTCTTTTGATCAGAAGCATAACCGATCGTTTGCTCAGCCCAAAGGCCTTCTCACCAAGCTTACTCAACAGTTTTAAAACAGCCTGTAGAGCGTCGTCATTCTAAACGTTAGTGTACAAAACTACGTCAAAAGATTCAGCTACACAATGCGTTTGCAAACTCTTTCACGTAGGCGTTCCAGTAAATGATTCGTGTTGGCTAAATGAGACGGGACTTTGTCCAGTAGCTAATTGACAATCTTATTTAAGAACCCGGAAATTCTGTCGGTTGGTCCACCCACACACTTATAATAATTTCCAACTGTTCTACAGTGAAAGAGCACTCGTCATCAGTAGCAGGTATTTTGTGAGTCTTAACAAGGCAAGGCTGTAAAAGACCGGGTACTGTGGTGTTTCCAATTTTATGCTAAGGAAGCTTTCGGGAAAGCCAGCCGCTCTTCCTACATCCATCCAAACATATTTAGTCGCTCGTTTTGTGCTTGAAGATGTCTCTCATTCACCCTAGATCGTCTCACTAAGATGGAGTTCTGTGATTTTCAGGTCCAAACTCTGTGGAAGAATCAGAAACTCACTGAATGCATATAACGCCATTAGAGACTAAATCATGTATTTTCTGGTAACCAGGCCATCGTAACTGAGTCAAGTCAGTCGGCTGTGGAATCTTTGCCTGATGACCGTAGGCATTTAGCACTCCAGAAATATTAGATTGTCCCATAAGTCATTTCATATTCGTACTTTCAAAGTGATTCAAAAACTAAGGCATCTACAAGGTGCAAATTTGTAAGAGTATTCTTGAATTAATAATCTATATAACCACATATTTGCGAGAAGCATAGACCCGTTACAGGCAGAGTTCGAAAACTGAACGCATTTTTTTCTCGATTTCTAACCATCAGAAAAATGCAGCAATTGTATACATAAATATCCGATGGGGACATTATATGCGTGAGCAAGTGGGAACTTCCAGAATGTTTTTGAACTGAGGTATGACTATGTTTTTTCGGGATTTTGGATTTTTTCCATTTTGTCTTGCAACTTGATGCGATCAGGCCGGTAATGACCTCTGTAAACCATATTGTAGAGCTTGCTTTGATCTTCCGAATGCTGTCCCGCATCCCAGCAGAAATCTAACAGGGAAAGTCACTTATCTTAGGTTGGCCTTTTGGAAAGTGACACATATCAATAGAATCAGCTCAAAACGCTGATTTTAAATCTGCTACCCGAAGCATTACTCTGAAGCGAGTTGAGCTTTTTCCTGAGCAAAGCTTGCGTGTTGACCGACCTACGGATGCTACGATATCATCATCTAGGTAGTGGTTCGAATGCATAATACACCCTTTCAAGGCCAAATGACTCAATCTGATGTTATTTTCATCTTCCATAATTTTTTCGAGCAGATTCCGTCTAGAAGCTTTTTTCCATATTCAGTTGTATGTCACTGACACATGCTAAAAAGCTCATAACTCGCTTCAGAGAGACGCTTCGCAGCTAAGGAAGCTTTGGAATGAGCATTCCGAGCTGATATTAAATGTGTGTCCCATTTCAAAAGGCCGACCTAAGTTAACTGACTTCCCTTGTAAGAAGAGCAGACTTATGCTGATGAAAACTCAGATATAAAAAGACTCATGGGACAACCTAATAGAATCTTAAACTTGACGTTAGTTTCAGCCGTTGGCTGAGTTTCTTCGTAAAACAAGCTTGGGAAAGGAATGGTGGAAGTAATTGTGCTGGCTGCGAGTTTTGAGCATTCTGTAGATTTCAGCGATTGTTATCAAGTCCTTGATCCGCTTTAGTGCCTTTGAAGAAGATCAAGGTTTTTAGGCTTTGCGCCTGCCTCCTAGTCTGTTCAATTGAGTTGGCAGCTGGAGTGGTAAATTCTGTCCATAATTGCGCACGCATTAGGCATCAACACTCGGCCGGTCATCCTTTGAAGGATGTTACTGTCCGAAACTACTTTTTCTTTAATTACCATCTATTTCGTTGTGCACTTATGCATACTCAGATAGATAAAAAGAACATCATAAAAGCCAAGCTGTTCGTGTTGACGATAAACATCAACATTGTTGATATAAGCAAAAATTGTGAGCCCATCATGAACATTTCTATCCTAGACTCCTCAGTTCTTTTGTCTCTTCATGTGCATTCCTCGCCGCAGTTGGTCCCCAAGCGTTTATGTTCTTCATGAAACAACTGAAGGGTGCGCATTTGGGTACACAATCTTTGTGTAATGATCAGCTCAGTTGGGATCGAATAAACTTGCAAACTCCCACCAAAAGGTGACTGACTAGTTAGAACAGTGCAAGCTTGAAGTAGACAAGCAATCTAGGTAAATTATGCGTAAAAAATAGATATAGATCCTTAAGAACATAAATGCTGTACGCAATAATTGTGCATTTTGCTCAATGAAAACCATGGAAAGATTAATATAACATTTCTAACACATGGTTACATAAGTGCTAGTGATTCAAGTGCGGTAGGAATTGCTTGTTTATTGCCTCTAGAGACAAACAAAAAATCCCATTGCTTTCTCAACATTTTTTAAGAAGAGCAATAAAGCAATATGAACAATATTCAATGAAAGAGGGAGAAGCAGTTCTTGTCGTTTGACTCAAAATTCTGTTGTCGAAATACTAGTGCATTTGAGATGTGTACGTCGTTACCGTGTTACCCATATTTTTTCGGACATAGCGGGTAAGACCATTAATTCCCACTTTCATTGCCAAACGTTTGAGACGGTTCCTCATGTCAGAATTGAACAGTGCGTAAACTATGCAATTCATACAATCTACAAAAGACAGCTAGATGGGATGTTAGCACTAGTTGTTAACATGACCAACTTACCGGCACAGAGTAGACCGACTAGATAAAATGGTCCCACAATGTCAAACAGAGAGAATCCAAATAGCTGCGCTCCACCAACAACCACGCTAGGAATTGTAAGGCAAACCAAAGAGCTGAGAAGAAAAGCTACGGAGGATCTGCTTGCCTGGAATCAGTAAGGTAGTGAAAAGGAATCTCTGCTTTGTTGAAATATGCACCTTTGCGTACTTTGAAAAATCATTTGTCTGCGAGCTCGACACTCGGGAACGCATGCGCATTTGTTGCAGTCTTAAGAGTACAGCTGTTGTCAATACGATCACAAAAAGGCCCAAAACCTAAAAGCAAACTCAATCAACTCGATGTTTTGCATCCTACGCAATTACGAACCATATTGCTGATTCCCCAGTAACATCTGAATTGATGACTGAAAAAGCAACCAGCTGCTGCACAGTTTACATTACGAGCAAAAGGTGACATCGAAAACGCGATCACTATATCGGAAAGGCCAAAAAGCATAGCTATGATAAGAGTGACAACAGCATATCTCTTTAAGGCAATTAATCTGTATTGCAACGGAGCATACAAAGCCTGTAGATTGCAAAATGGCACCAATTAGCAAAGTGCAAAACAAGCAAAACTTACCAGTACTCTATCCAGTGCTATTGCTATCGTAAGGACAATGTTGACCTTAAGCTGGAAAGGCAGTGGGATAATAGAAATCATGACTACGTAAGGATCCATATCTATTCTTGTTGGATTCCAGTTTAATACAAGATATATGGTGTGAAAAGAGACTAAAATCAAAATTTTTTTAGAGTTTGAGGTAGATATAGATGGTAGATATAGATGCACCTTGAAATGTCAGGGCGTGAAACACTGAGCAATAAACATGCAGTAATCCGGAATCTTTAAAATTTTGAAAAAGCCTTATGTGAAGGTTTGATGATTCAAACGTCAAACATTCTATGGGCCGTCCGCGCTGCGCGCGGAGAGCAACGCTGTTGCGCCCGTCGAAGATAGAACAAGCGCAGAGAAAAACAGGCGGTGAGAGTGCACGGGGAAAGAGGAGTGACGCGCAATACACACCTTGCGCACTCTCCGCGCCCTGCGCGGACGGCCTATAGTTTTCTAGGCTTTTTGTTATTTCCAGGTGGAATTGTCAATTCTGACTCAAAACGTTACAGACGGCAAGACAGTGTTAGCAATCTTTGATCAAGTCGTCAACTAAGTTTTGCAACTGATTCCACAACTTTTCGTTTTTTGACATTGTCGCTCAGTATTTAATAGACTATAGTGTGCGCTAATAACTGACACCAACCTCTCGCCTTTTGATAACAAGATAGAAGATCCGAAATTATACATGATTTATTGCTAGAGGTTGATTTATTCAGCTCAAGAAACATGGAAATTAGACAAGGCGAGAGCTGGCGCCCGCCTTGAATTGAATGAGTCGCTTTATGCAAGGTCTTTTCTTCTAAGGCAGGGCTACATTTGGTAAGTCAATCATAATCTTGAAAAAAAACTCTAGCATGCGAAGTCAGTAACGTTTTTGTGATCAGCATATCAACATTTTTCTGCCTACGGCGTACAGCGACCGCCAAAAAGTTGCGGACAAGCCTCCCTCCCTTTTTCATCGCTTTATTTCAGAAGGAAAACAAGGATAAAAAAATGTAGTGATTGCATGAGGTGATAGAGCTCTTTAAGAGCTACAATCTGCACTTTGCGTTTTTCGAAAAACATGTATTCTAAAAATTTTAAAAAACTTTTTCTAAATAAAGTCCGAAAATGGCCGCGTCACAATGTCGCGGACAATAATTCTTCGAACGCAAAAATTTTCTTTTGAGTCTTATTCTGAGGCTGAAACACAAGTAATCCAAACGGGTAAGCATACTACTATACAGAGCTCGTCAAGAACTACACACTGGTTATGGTTGCTTCCCAAAAAACACAAGCTTGAGTTTTATTTTGCTTTTTTTTCAAAAATAACTTCTAATTCTCCTTTTTAAGCCAAGTTTCTTCACATGGAAACCTATTCACGACATTCCAACAACTGTTCGGATAAAGTAGATGCTCTTTACCATTCTCCATGCATCTGACGTGTGCTGATGAGTTTCTTTGCTGAAAATGGCTCTTGGCAGTGCTTGCACATGACCCCAACTGCACCTCACCACTGACTTGTACCGCTTTGCAGGCTTGTAACTCGGCTTGTAGTCAATGTGTGAGCCTGCAATTAGGCTCATTCGAAAGAACGAGACTTCCACTACATGATGGTTTGTAAAAGAGATGGGTATAAGAAACAGCAGAGATTTGGCGGATGGGGCGGAAAAACGCGGCCTCAGTGGTGGTTGGAGTGGAGGCTCTTATCAACATCAAAACAGTTCTAGAGCTTCAAAATGGATCTATTACAGAACATTGACAGTTTCAAGCTTCCAGGATTGAACTGGTAGCGAAAGAAGCTATATTCAACTTTAGCTGGATATCCTCACCCTAGCACTGAGGCCGCGTTTTTCCGCCCCATCCGCCAAATCTCTGCTGTTTCTTATACCCATCTCTTTTACAAACCATCATGTAGTGGAAGTCTCGTTCTTTCGAATGAGCCTAATTGCAGGCTCATTGACTACAAGCCGAGTTACAAGCCTGCAAAGCGGTACAAGTCAGTGGTGAGGTGCAGTTGGGGTCATGTGCAAGCACTGCCAAGAGCCATTTTCAGCAAAGAAACTCATCAGCACACGTCAGATGCATGGAGAATGGTAAAGAGCATCTACTTTATCCGAACAGTTGTTGGAATGTCGTGAATAGGTTTCCATGTGAAGAAACTTGGCTTAAAAAGGAGAATTAGAAGTTATTTTTGAAAAAAAAGCAAAATAAAACTCAAGCTTGTGTTTTTTGGGAAGCAACCATAACCAGTGTGTAGTTCTTGACGAGCTCTGTATAGTAGTATGCTTACCCGTTTGGATTACTTGTGTTTCAGCCTCAGAATAAGACTCAAAAGAAAATTTTTGCGTTCGAAGAATTATTGTCCGCGACATTGTGACGCGGCCATTTTCGAACTTTATTTAGAAAAAGTTTTTTAAAATTTTTAGAATACATGTTTTTCGAAAAACGCAAAGTGCAGATTGTAGCTCTTGAAGAGCTCTATCACCTCATGCAATCACTACATTTTTTTATCCTTGTTTTCCTTCTGAAATAAAGCGATGAAAAAGGGAGGGAGGCTTGTCCGCAACTTTTTGGCGGTCACTGTATAGTCCTCACTGCAACCTCAAAATTTGGCCGAACAACTGCCGAACTATGCTTATATCCATGACCTATTCAATGGCAGGATCTGAGTGCGTTTCAACGAGAGAGAAGTATCAAAGATTGCAAAACTTAGTCAATCTAATCATAACAACAAAGGTTTGACTTACTCGCGATAGCATGGAAAAGATTTGTATTTGCGAGAAACGTAACCAGATAAATCGAAATGGTGTTTTTATTTACCCTGAAAAAAGCTGAGAAAATTTAACAGATTAATATCACATAATAAACTGAGCGAATTTTCTACTCGTTTTTGCTCAAAGGCAACATCCATGCATTTGTCCCCAGCACCGCAGTTAGTGGACGACTTGAATCGTCTTGCAGGGTTTTGCGGAGGACCCATCACAAAAGCACACAATGGCTTGACTTGATGCAAGTCTTTCTCCAAATACGGTAGCGGAGTCTGTTTCTAAAAGAATATCTCAGCCGCGAGTGCACCATTTGCGCTCTTGCGTAGGCGATATCCTAGTTAGGAGCCCAAAATGAGCTTCCACGTCCGATCCCCTTGTGCCCAAATTTGCTTGCACGCTGATTCGATGAACTCATCTGTTGTGTATGTCGATGTAAAAAGTTCAAAGCCTGCCGATTACTGCTAGAGAAGAGAAGTAAAACGATGCGAGTCATTTGACCTATAGCTCCAGGCTGTTGAGAGTTCATTTCAGTTTGCTTCAAACTGCGGTTAATTATCGTAAACTTTTTGAATGAATGGAGTGAATAATGCGGGCTTTTGAGCTGAAGGTGTTACAGGTATAAACAAGGAGAGCTTGACATATCAATTTACAGGCCATTCATTGCACGAAAAGACTGCGGACGTATCGGCGTCTTCCTTATCAAGCCTCTTCCGTTTTTCTTACCATCTGCGAACTCTCCCAAGCACGAGCTATCTTGGTTGAACGCAACGGCTCCCAGTCCTTGTATGTTACGATTTGCCGATATATGATTTGATGCAAACGTAAAGACAAACTGAATCACATAAAATTTTGATAGTCGTGTTGTCGAAGTAGTGTCGTGACTATTTTTGAGCTATGACAATTATAGGTTGTACATTTGAGGGAGCAAAACGTCATGAGTTTATGAAATAGCGAGGAAGCAACACACGATACGCACAACTCACTTGTATAGTGCAAGCAGAACTATTGTATTAAGTGAGATGGACAAAGCTTGCAAGACAAGCACTACGATATCCGTCACAAGGAAGTAGTCCATTCTGAAACACAAATCTCTGTCTCAGTAGCCTTGTGAGTGGAAGAAAAAAACATTCTTTGGATAAATAAACATTCTCTACGTTTCGAAAGCATGGGGAAAGCGTGCATACAAACTTTCTATGGTAAAATATCCATTTCCTTTGAAAAGTAATTGAGTTGCAGACTGTTGACAATTTCCTCGGCCTTTCAATTGAAGGGTAATTGAAATGGCGAGAAAATTGCGAGTACCGCAAGATGTTTCCGGAAAAGAAGCGTTTGATACCACGCGCTTCCTGTTTGTGAGAAATTGTGAATTCCCTGATATGAGTTTGGCTATCTATGGCATTTCATGTTGTAATGCACCGAAATAAATGAGACAATTATCTATAGTTCACCTGTTCATTTATGCCAGCCCGTTAATATCATCAAGTGTCACACTGATCAGAGAATTGTGTTGAGTACCCAATAAAATCTGTACCTAGAAAGCCTCTCGTTATAGTTGTAACATCATTTTTCGCACAACCAACACAGGACAAATCAGGAAATGTTACAAACCAGGAAATGCAGTGTGTGAGTATTTGAGCAATCATTTATTTTATGCACAACAGAATCACGGAAGTACGGAATGCTCTCTCATAGTGATAGTGGTTAACAGACATTCTAATCTGCAAATATGCAAAAAATTTGTTTTTACCTCTTCACACTACCACAAAAAATCAACTTGTGCAGTGAGGACGGCTTGGCTCTTTATCCAACAATTTACAGTGGGAAAAGTATCAAGTTTTTGCAGATGTAAGGTGCAGCAAATTTCGGGTTTGAACCGAGGCTCGGTAAGGAAAGGCTTACAAGGCAGCGATAGCGTTTTGGAGGGAAAAGTATAGGAAATATCGTCTCTGTATGTTCGGGACGGAGCCCCAAAATGCATGTATAAGCTTAATAAGTTGTGTACGAAGAAATCGCCAGTGGCTTGTATCGGAATTGGATTCAGAGAAAGTTGCAGTCGCGGGAGTGGTGACAAGTCTACAAAAAAGCTTCTAACCACGCAGGCACACAGAAGGTCCATTCGATTCGTGAACACTAAGTGTTAACAAAGTAAGGTAGTCCGAGTACGACCTAGACTTGACTGGCTGAATATGTACTGCGTATACAATTTCTACACATTTCTGCGCAACGGGTTGCCCTTAGAAGTTTTAAAGAATGACTGGAGTGATTGGCGAAACGTCAGTTGTATGCATATGTCGAACAAATCGAATAAGCAATCCAGCGTAGATAACGACCAAA